GGGGTTAACATGAGTCCCGGAGCTCGGCCCGGGACGTGCCCAGGTTCTTTGTGGGAAGACGCACAGCCGGGGGTGCTTCCGCAGGCGGCGAGTGTCCGGGACGCAGCTCTCGAGGCGCCCCGCCACGCCTCACAGGGGGCCCGCCGCGGGGGGCAGCGGCCGGGGCCACGAGCAGACGCCACTGCCGAGGGCCGCTCCTCAGTCTCCGCGGGGCTTGCTTTTGTCTGGGCGAGACCAGTTACGTGCCACGGCGGAGACCCCTAAGTCAGCTCAACTTTATTTACCAGACTCCCGCCCTGGGGAAGTAACAGAAGCAGAAGTGGCGGCCGCCCGCCGTGCCGCAGGAGGCTGGTTTCCCCCCGAGTCCACGGGTCCCCCCGCCTCGCTCGCTACTGGAAGCCCGGTCAGGTACTTACCTGCCGGGCCAGGTGGCCCGCAGTGGCCCCTGCCCAGCCCCGAGAGTGGACCTCGAGGAGCCGAGACCATCAAGGCAACACCTCTCCCCTGGGTGACCAGATCAGGCATGCGGCCCGGGAGGGGCGGCCTGGAGGGCGCTTTGGGGGGCTTCGGGGGGCACCTCCACCTGAAAGCAAGTGCACCTCAGGTGACGCAGGCAGCTGGCGGCCGCTGGGGCCTGCAGAGGCCGGGCGGGCTGCCGCGGGCTGCTGGGCCTGCCCGGTGCCGGCTTCCGCTTTGTGCACTAACGAATGGGCCTGGTGGGGCGAGCCTTCTGCCCGGAGAGCGCCCTACTGCCTCACAATCAGCAGGAACCCACAACGCCCGGGGAACACCTGCGCCTCGGCTCGCGCGGGCGGGGCAGAGGCGCGTGTCCGTCACTCACCATTAAAAAATAGTGGTCCTCAGGCTCCGCCCGCAGGTACTTGAAGATCACCTGCTCCATGAACCGCTCCATGAGGTCCCAGTCCTCCACAATCCCGTGTCTGATCGGCCACTGCGGCAGAGAAGCCACGGCGGTGGCGCTGCGGCCGCGGCCAGCGGCGGAGGCC